TAACTTTTCTCTTATTTTCACTCTTTTTTTCATTGATTTTTACATTCTTATTGTTTTCATCCTTATCGTAATATTTTTTGTTCTTTCATTTCCCAGTTTATCAGTTTTCTCTTTTTCTCCTCTCCCTTACGTTTTGTCTCACTTTATCCCTTTTCCCACTTCTTCATTTCCCTCAACTACCTTTCATCATCATTATGAATAATCTTATTTTTTCATATTCATTTCTGCCATTCCCTTTTATTCTCTCTTCTCCCTTTCTCGTCTTTTCTTTCTCTCTCATTTTACTCTTCTTACTCTTCTACCTCTCCTTCCCTTCCCTCTTTCGCACAGCTGAGTGATCATCATCATCATTTTGAATAATCTCTCCTTCATTCTTTCATATCCTCGTCCATCTTTCCGTGTCTCTCTTCTCCCTTCCTCTTTTTCTCTATATCTCCCTTTTATCCATCTCCCTCTCACTCTATCTTCTTTTTCTCTATCTCCCCCCTTTATCCACCTCCCTCTTACTCTATCTTCTCCGTTACTCTTTTTCTCTATCTCTCCCCTTTATCCATCTCCCTCTTACTCTATCTTGTTCCTTCCTCTTTTTTTCTATCTCTCCCCTTTATCCGTCTTCCTCTTACTCTATCTTCTCCCTTCCTCTTCTTCTCTATCTTCCCACTTCATCCACCCCCTCTTCTTTCCTCCTTTCCCTCTTTCCTTCCTTTTCTATCTCCCTCCACCCTATCTTTCCCTTCCTCTTCTTCCTACCCCACCTTCACCCCCTCCCTCTTCTTTCCTCCTTTCCTTCTCTCCTTTCTTTTCCCTCACCCATTCCTTCTCTATAGCCCTCTTACTCTATCTTCTCCCTTCCTCTACTTCTCTATCTCTCCCTTTACCCCCTCCTCTCTTTCCTCCTCTCCTTCTCTCCTTCCTTTCCTTTCACCCATCCATCGTCTTCCTCGCATCAGCTGATCCGTCGAAATCACGGGGGGGACTGTCCTAAAGAGGCTTCAGGCTTCACTAAGTAAGAAAGTCTTCGCAACTACGCCTTTGGGATGCAATAGGGCGGTCTTTTTTGCCTGCAGAGAGGGATCAGCTGTTTTGCTACACGTTTCTTTTGCGAGTGAGTGTGTGTGTGAGTGTGAGTGCGTGTGAGTGAGTGAGTTAGGGAGTGAGAGAGTGTGTGTGTGTGTGTGAGTGAGTTAGAGAGAGAGAGAGGGAGAGTAGAGAGAGAGAGGGAGAGGGGGAGGGAGAGAGAGGGAGAGGGAGAGGGAGAGGGAGAGGGAGAGGGAGAGGGAGAGGGAGAGAGAGAGGGAGAGGGAGAGGGAGAGGAGAGGAGAGAGGGAGAGGGAGAGAGGAGAGAGAGGAGAGGAGAGGAGAGAGAAGAGAGAGAGAGAGAGAGAGAGAGAGAGAGAGAGAGAGAGAGAGAGAGAGAGAGAGAGAGAGGAGAGAGAGAGAGAGAGAGAGGAGAAGAGAAGAAATTTTTTTTGTAGTTAGAGGAGAGACGGAGAGAGAGAGAGGAAGAGGAGGAGAAGAGAGAGAGATAAAAAAGATTTAGATAAAGAGAACAGA